CGGAACCCGGGGCCGGGGGGGGGGGCCGGCGCGGGGCCGGCGGGGAAACCCGGAGCGCGGCGCTGCGGAGCGGGAAGCGCGGGAGGCGCCGGGGAAACCCGGAGAGCGGAGTTACGGACGGGGCTCCCGCGGGCGGGCAAGGGCTGCCCCCGGGCCGCTCGCCCCTGCCGGGCTCCCCGCTCCCGGGGGAGGGCTGCCCCGCCTGCACTAGCGAGCTGCGCAGCAGCTTGTGCCTTTGATTCCACTCGGTAGCCAAAGGGGCACAGTCGGGATTATTTCAGCGTCTGGGGATTATTCTGGTATGCCTGTGTCCCTGTTCATAGCAAGGACGAAGCTGTGCCGGAGCAGAGCAATTCTAAGCTCGCAGACACGTTTGGAGGGTTGCAAGGAGGGCTGCCCCGCCTGCACTAGCGAGCTGCGCAGCAGCTTGTGCCTTTGATTCCACTCGGTAGCCAAAGGGGCACAGTCGGGATTATTTCAGCGTCTGGGGATTATTCTGGTATGCCTGTGTCCCTGTTCATAGCAAGGACGAAGCTGTGCCGGAGCAGAGCAATTCTAAGCTCGCAGACACGTTTGGAGGGTTGCAATAGGCAAATACATTAGCAAAACATCCTGTGCACCTTCAGCAGAAATACAAAAATAGCATCATGAGCCAGCCTCCAGCGAGGCAAATCTCCTGCCCCTCCATCGCCCGGGACAGCCAGGCCGGCAGAAGAGGCAGACCTCCGTGAGGGAGGGCGATGAAGAGTACTGCGGTGCTGAACACGCTGCCAAGGAGAGAGGGGAAAAAGGACAAACACTGACAAGGAAGACTGAGGGTAGGAAAGACGCTCTCGGATGACATGGCGATGGTAAAGGCACTTGAACCCAGGCAAAAACCCCCTACAAATTCAGCTAATGCCTTGGGCAATGCTTTCTTTGGGAGAATGTCCAGCTGCCTTCCGGCTCTCCAATACTTAGGGAAAAGCATCCTGTATTTGCCATGGAAATGACAACCAGTCCCCTCCTGCTGTGGGACCCACGAGCAGTCCCAGCAGATGGTGCTGTGATCCTGCTGCTCGAATTATTTCGCCTTTCCACTGAGCAATTTTGCATCAAACCTCCAGCAGCAAGGATGGGAGACTGGTGGCCAGGCACACTCGGCTCTAGGGAAGCTGGTACTTCTTGCCATAGAGCTGTAGGTACACCCAGAGCCCCAGTGTGCACCTTCACAGCCATCTGTGCAGTCTGAAGTCCCTGGGTGCTTGAGCTCAGCCTCCTCCGAAACCCCCCTTACCCCACTGCTGACTGTCACTGCGTGCGGGTCATTCCTGTTCCTGGCTGCCCGTAGCCATCCTGATCTGCCTACAGAGGTCTTTGCTGTACCTCCCTTCATGTTCCTAGGAAAAGAAAGGTCTGCTCAGGAGTTTATTGTTTAACACATAGGTGCATCCCTGGTTGAAGGATGGCAAACCTGAAGGAGAAAAGAAAAAAGAAAAAAAGAATCAAGCCGCAAATCCCTTATGTTTGCCACAGCCTGGAGAGATTCAACAAGACCCTAACTAGAAGAGCTAACAGCTCTGTCATGTTACAAGCTTTATACCTTTAAAAACCACTGTAGTTACAGACATATGAGTGTCTTGCATGAATTATCCTTTGTCACCAAGCTCTTGCCCCTATCTGCAACCAGGCACAAGCTCTTCAGGACAAGTGCCTGCATTTTGAGGAAAGCATTAAGGTATAGGATTCATGGGAAGGATGCTTCAGCCTGTGGCAAGCTTGAGACTTCACTACAGAAATTCTCTATATCCACTGTCTGGATCTGACGCAATGCCTACAGATGCATGGCTTGAAGACTGCTCTCCCTGTATTGGGTTTGGCCAGCAATGAGGTCAGCTACCCAAGAATGACATCAGCATCCCCACAGAACAATAGCCCATTCACAGCACCAGCTTCTCTGCAAACCAAGAAGAGAAGAGATAAAGTGAGGCTCAGCAGAGCTCAAAAGGGAATCTTCACACTGGTCTCGTTTATGGTTTCTGCGTGCTGGAAACCTCCTGCTATTTCATCCCAGGCAGTAACAGGTTACTGTTGCCCTGTCCCCTTCCAGAGGTATCGTAAACCTCAGTTCGCATTTGTTAAGTGCTTGAGATATGCAGTTAAAAGACCAAAGTAGATTTAAATGTATACACGTAACTATATATACTTCATAATTAAAATAAACAACAGTGAGTAGTCATAAATATGACCAACTGCTCATCAGTTCACTGCTTTTCTGTAACCCATTTTGCCTTACTCAAGCTACCTAGTTAATAGACAAAGACTTTATAATCTGATCTTCAACTAATAGCTCTCGAATTGTGCTCATACATTCCGGTTCTATGTCTCCCTGCAAGCAGTCCAGAGTTATAAACTCCCAGGGACTCAAGTGGCATTTAACATGGGTGTATTTGCAAGGTTATGTCCCCAGGACAGTAAAGCTATAAGGATGAAAACAAGGTTCCTTTTTTGTCTGGGATGTGAAGGTGAGCACGCTGGCAGGTACCCCAGTACTAAACAATACAGAGATTAAGAGTTCTTAATAAATATTTCTTCAACATTTTGTCTTTGGTGGATTTTCAACTCAGAATTACAACTCAGAATTAAGATAAATCTATGGAGCAAGTCTACGCTCCTTAGTAGAGAAAAGCTCGTGTATTTTCTGGTTGTTCCTCATGACAAAACAGTTCCCTAGCACTTTTGGGCTATGAAGACTAGAGTGGGTTTGTACAATACCAAGATACTAACTTTGGACCCAGTCCAGTGTGGTTATTAATAATAGGTAATGCATAACATATGTCAAAGCAAAGGCTGTCAAATCTGGCTGACAACTACTCACATCTCAATCGTATAACTTGGCAATGTGGGCGGGTTTTTTTCCATAATGTAAAGCAATTCCCATCAACTGCAGATTGCACTTCACAGAAGGTTCAGTTACAAGCAGATGCCAGGCTCTCACTACTCATCTGGAGACATATGCAGTACGTGAACAGAGTAAAGAACTGATTTGTGATTCAAAATAAACCGTTTCCTTTACTTGGCACCAGAGGCAATGCAGAGTTGCAGAGGGTGCTCACCTGGCAAGTACCACAGTTGTATAGTTCCTTGAGACCCCGCAGTCCTGGAAGGGATTGCTGACGCTCTGTGTGCACGTCTGAATGAGGCCCCTAGGCAAGGGCCATGCTTAGCATGAGACATCATAGCTAAGAATTGGTTTTGTACACACACACACACACATAGATGTGTACGTAAAATACGTTTCTGTACGTATATATGTATGTATCTGTCAATATGTATGCATATAGGGGTTCAAAGTAAGCCTCAACTTTGGGTTCCGCATCACAGCTGATTAGAACAAAATACTTCAGTGAGTTATTGTTAACAAATATTATAGTAGGTTAGGTGCAAAACATGAGGTTTCTTTCAGTTGCATCTAGGCACGCTGGGTTGTGTGCCTTCCTAACTCTTCCTAGGAAGGAGACCAAAAAGACCTTTCTATCTCTATTGTACTTTATAATCAACTTCTGTGTGAAGGAGGCCCAAACTGTCTTGTCTTTGGTGCTTTAGTTTGTTTCACATCAGTCATGTTTCATTTCAGAAGGAAAGTCTCCATGATCATTTCGTTATAGTGCTCTACTAATTGCACCACTCACATCCAAATGGGTAAGTAGCCCATGTTTTTTCATTAAAAGGCAGCAGCCATCACTAAGGATCTAGATTTTCTGGAGCTTTCTGTCCATTTAGAAACTGCT